TTTTTTTTTTTTTTTTGTTTACTTATCTGCATTTTTTAATTGGATGTGGTGCTTGTTATTTTTTACTTGATTATGTTGTCTGTGGGAATGGATAGCGAGTTTATGCTGGTAGCTCTTTGCTTAGTTTGAAGGTTGTTTTTAGCTGGTTTCGAGACCCGCAAGTATGATTTGTGAACTTTGGAGCTTGAAGAAAGCGGCTTGGTAGAGATGGTATCCTGTGAATTGGCTTGAAAGTTGAATAAATGAATGAAGTTTGCAAGATGTATGTTATTTGAGAGGTGCGTGTTTTCCGTTACTCAGATGGCTCCCATAATTTCAGACTGCTTCTGCGTTAGTCAGGGGAGAGGGAATATCTTTTGGTCTAACAAATTTTGAAGGGAATTACTGAGATATACTCGTTGTCTTACGCTGAATGGTGCTCAAATTTATTTTTAAGTTGTACTTTTTTTTTTAATAGTTGTAGTTCCTTATGCGATTTTTTTTCTGCCCAGCTTAATTACAAGGCGGAGTTTAAGCTCGGTAGATGGGTTTTCATTTAAAAACAAAGTTTTGAATTTTGAATGATGAGTTTTTCGGTGAGTTTCCGCCATAGAGTTTTGAAACGTTTATTTTTATTAGAAACAGACAAGAAACAATTATTCTCATAATGATTTGAACGTGAGGCTAGTAAAATTTGCTTTATTTCAGATAAGTTGTTTAGAAAGGTAGAAGAGACTTTGGAAGACAGTCAGATGTTCGAAATTTTAGCTTTCTTAGCTTTTGATATAGAGACTGGATTGCTATAGTAGGATTATATTAAGGTCCTTTGTCAAACTTTCTTCATTCTGTAGGGTTAATATTGTTGTTCATAGGTTTACCAGGTTATTTTAATACATTATTAACATATTCAGTGTATTCTTTAGATTTGCGTTTCAGTACTAATATTTTGCTGTGGCGGTAATTTATGAACAAACGAAGTGTTGGATTATCGAGCGTGTCAGTACTTGAAGATTGTTTAGTGTACTGGCTAGTTCTGGTATTTAACCTAGGAGGGGAACATTTGCATGTCGTTGGTATGAATGTTATGTGTGCGTAGTCTATCGAGTTTTGGAGGAAGCCGTTTTTTAGCTGTATTATCTTGCACTTGCTGTGGAATGCCTAGAGTGACTAACTGACTGGCCGTCTGTTCTGCTTCCGGTAAATGGCAGTTATTGTTTTGGGGTTTTTTATCTGCAACAAGTTAGTTTTCTGAGCGAGTAGAAGGTTTGAAGTAGAACACGAGCAGAGCCTAAGGGAAGGAAAGGCGTCAGTTGTTAAAAATAGTTTGATTTTAAACAATCGAGTTAGTGTGTTTTTGAACGTTTCTTCAAAGATGTTTCAACAGAATTTATGTTTGAGAATTTGCTTGTTCACAGGCTTGGAAATTCTTTTAACCTGAAGGTTCGCTTCAAGGAATTCTTTGGTATTCGTTTTCATAGGGGAGTATTCAGTATTGGAAAGAATAGGTATGTTGAGTTTATTTTTTGAATTCGGGTTTTATATACTGGCTTTTTTTAGCGTCTTTTACATTGCGTTTGGCACATTCAAATGAATTTTTCAGTTTTAGTTGGAAAGGCAAAGGAAAGAGACGGAGAGGGGTTTGAAAGCTCAATAACAGTAACTTTAAGTTACCTTGTCCAAGAAGTAATGGTGACATACTTTTATGAGTCTCCTCGTAGTTGTCTTTATTGCTTTGAAGTTTTCGTTAGATACGTTCTGAATGCACAGTTTCAGCTTCATTATTTCCTGTATAAAACAGCAGATGAAGCAGAATTTATAAGGGGAGGTTTTAATCGCTATATCTTAGTTTGCATCTTTCGGGAAATCGTTCGTTGTTATTGTTTGCAAATCACTTGATCATGAAAATATCTCTATTATACTTCCTGTTGTTAGTTTCTGGCACTGTTTGCAAGAGTTTTCTCAGTAGCAGTGGGGACTGTCTGCTAGTCACATTCGTCTCTTACTTTGCTTATTAAAGTCTGCATCTTAGAATAAATATGTAACTCTCATATTTTTTTGAATACTCTGCGATAGGCAGTAGTTATCTTTTATTGTTCAAAACCAGAAGCGTTTCATAGTATACTGTTTTCCATGTGCGAAGTTTTGTTTTATTGAAATTATTTTATATCTAATGTACTGTCGTTTTTGCGCAGGAGACGACATGGCTTTTTTTGTATTCTTTATTTTTCAAGCTGTTTTCAGTTTTGGAGTGAGTTGTCGCTTTCTCTTTCGTAACGGGGTCTCTACAATATATGTCAAGTTTTCCGGTATCTGCAAATATATTTTCTTTTTTCTTTGCTGTCATGAGACGTTCATTCGGTATTCTTCATATGTCTTTATGATCTCGTCATAAAAGCAAATAATTCTTATCATTAGTGGTAACTCCATACAGTGTGAGCTTACAGAAGTGGCACACTTTTTGTCACAAGACTCATTTTTTATCTTTTGTGTTTTTTTTTAACTTCTGATTTCGTCTTGAATTTGTGGAGTGTAATTTGTGCATCAAGTACATCAAACTAGGTCGCCATTTTTTTCATTATTTTTCTTATCACACAGGTTCTTTTTTTCATCGGTTTATTTGTGCGCAACATATTGAGTTTCCTTGCTTTTTTGCTATTAGATTTTTCTCAGCATTCGAACGAGTATTTTACATATTTTAGTTGTTTTAAATGTATTTGAATAACATTAGCTTTTTAATTTTGAATTTTAGTAGGTGACGTGGAAAGGGGTTTTTGTATACGAGATTCTTCTACTAGCCACACGTTTTTCTTAGATGTTTAAACTTACGATCTGTCGCTGGAATTCCTTTCTAAGAAATTATTTTTGCTTTTTCTTAGATATAGGCTTTAATTTGCTTAATATGTTCTAAAGGTGATCATGATAGAACAAAAGTTGTTATATATAAATGCACGTACATTTTTCTTTAGTGAATATTTTTATTTTTAGAACGGAAAATGCAGGTTTTAAAATAGACTTGAGATAATTAAAAGGAGGGGAGTTGTGAATGGATTTTGCGGGATTTTTGATTTTGAGAAATATTTGGAAAACTTATCTAGTTATGTGTAGTATTATTTTCGATGTGGGAGTTTGCATGTATAGCTGTACATGATGTAGCAGCAGCCTATTACATAATTTTTGACCCTTAGAATTGCAAAAGTTGTCGTTGGTGCGTATTGTTGTAAAGTTATGTATTTTGTTCACATGTCGCATTTGCTTTTGTTTATTTTATTTTATTTTATTGTACTTTTTTTTTTTTTTCATTTTTTATCTTTATCGTTGTACTAACTGTAGCTGTTGGCGCCTCTGAGAGACAGAGGAAAAGTGTACGGTGTCGTTCACATGGAACGTTATAGCACTCTCTTTATCTCCTTTCTTGTCGATTGTGTATATAAATTGTTGCAGGAGGTTTGCCGTTCAATTGCTATTGTTATAGCTGAATTTTTACGCGGATTGTGAATGCGTAAAGGATGGCTTTTTCAATTAGAAAACACAAAAAAACACAAATCAATGATCTGCCGAGGAGTGTACTAAAGTTCATCTTCAACAAGTGTGTTTCCCCTCCTGTTTGCTTATTTATTTTTGTAAAACATTTTACTCATGTTTTACTTCATATTCTTGAGAGAAATGATGTTTTTCTGAGAAGTCATTATTGGCTGTTTTCCATTTTCTGACTTGATTTAAAATTTCTGAGTGTTTCTTCAATTTTTTATAAAGTAGTATTTAATTTTTTTGTCTCTAATATTTTTTATTGTAATATTTTGCTTGGTTTTTCTGTAGCCTCTGCAGTTGTAGATGTCAGCCAGTTACACGCGGCCGAGCGAGATCAGTTTGTCATTTGTGGCGAGAAATGTTAGATGAAGTTGACAAGGATCGGGAAAGCAGTAATGGTAGTGGGCACGCCAGACTGATGATTTGTGATAGGAGGAGGTTGGTAATTTAGCGGGACGAAGTTTTTCAGTAAAGCTCTTCATTTTGTTTATATTTTTCATTAATTTTAGAGCTATTTTGGAGAAAATAACAGCTCCTCCATGTTGCTCCTACGTAATTTCCGAAATTGTTGGAGTCAGGAGTGCTGTTTATTATGAAGATACATTTGCTCCTTCCACCATGACGGAACATGCTTTTAAATTTGATTTTGACTATTGGACTCCATACTTTGATATAACAGAAGTAATTTTTTGATTTTCATTTTTGACCCTTTTGCTGTTGTAATCAAAATTATATTGGCTTCCTTCTATGGTAGTTCTTTTAGGTTCTATTTGGTTGGTTGTTTATTTACCTTGTGGTTAAACCTACTCAATTTTAGATCTTTTCAAGTAAGTTTTGTAGGTGTGGCTAACAAATTTTGGTTCATTTTTGGAAAGGGATCAAACGCCCCATGTTAACTCACCTTTATTCGCTTCCGGAGGAGCTTCAGCAAAAGGGGGATTTCACAAAACTGGATCTTATGGAGTAAGTGAGCTATGCGGTTCAATTTCCAAAGCTTATATTTAATTTTTTTGATTGTCTTAATTTAAAGGCGACTCCTCCCATTGATACAACTGGCGCACGGTACACACGTACGCAATTACACCGGAGCGAAGGCTCGACGATTAATCCAACGGTCAATACAACTACTGTTAAAGCATACAATTTGTTACCTTCAAGTCAGAAGCCAAGCCTTGAATCATTGGTCGGCGTGGCGGAATTAACAGCAGTAAGTAGAACAATGTCGCTGAATATTTGTTTCTGATTGTATTCCTTTTGTAGTAAATGGAAATTGGTAAATTTTTTTCTTCAGGATATGTGTAAGGAGTTGGAAGGGATTTCGGCAGGGCGATTCGAAAGACTTGCGGAAGTTTTCAAAGATATTCAGCCACTGAATATTATCTTTAATGACCAGTCGTTCTATCAGAAAAGACCTACTTTGCTTCTGTTTTGGTTTCTGCAAATGTAATTTTTTTGCATCATTTTCTGGCATTTTTCCAGTCGTCTTTTCCTGCAAATTTAATTCTACAGTTTTTCACAGAGAGCTACGTTTTTTTTTTAGGTTGCCTAATGTTCGAAAGCTGACATTTGATAACATACAGGGAGTTCAGAGTGTAGAACTTCATAAGGTTATATCGGTAAAAGGGATTGATGAACTAACAATTAAACAGCCGGTATGCATTTTTAGTCATCTTTGTGGTGAAATAAATTTAATTTTTCGGGTTCCTTGTTACATTTGAACCTCTACCTTTTTCTGCCGACTTATTACTTTTCAGAAGGAAAAAGCCTGTATCTTAGTTGACGATGCGCTTTTGCTTTCTTTTTTGGAAGTTGAGCGTAAAGATAGAAGGAAATTTCGCTTGCGTTTTGAGGGGAAAGATGCAACTACAATTGGTGGCTTGTTGAAGTTTATAAAAGTACTGTTTAGTTCACTTCTTTACAAGGCTTTCTGTTATCACAAATCTCTTAACTTTTCTTTTCCTGTTAACTTTTTTTTTGTTCAGAAGTGGCAGTCTAAAAGCGATATAATTCCATTTTACACGATACTAGTTGATGCACTAGCAGTGAATCCAGCAGATTTTGTTCGTGCAGCTATTGAGCCAGAAGACTATAATAACAATCAAGTTTGTTGTATTCTGGTTTCATTGGCTGAATCGTTTCTTTCAGTAGTTTTTTAGAACTCTATTACGCCAAATTAACTTTCATGTGTTTACTTGAATTTTAGGTCAACAACAAGAAACAAGAAGCTATTCTTTGCAAGCGACAGCTCATGTTCCGCCACCGGCGATCGAAAAACCATTCTATCAAGTACAAATACGAAGATGGGTAGGTTTTATTTCTGATTGAATTGACAACCAGTTTATGCGTATTTTTAATTTGTCTTTTCCCGTTATTTACTGATGGCGTTTTTCATCATGATTAATGCTACCATATTTTTTTAGCTATTTAATGTTCTACTACTGCGATGCTAAGAATCCTCCGAAATTGCCGGAAAAGTGTAAAGCTGAAGTGTCAAAAATTGTAACTTTTACCTCAGTTTCGAACAAAACCCTAACAGAGGGGGAAGAAGAGGAGCGTTTGCGTCAAGAAAAGGAGCACAAAAGCAACGGTGGAGGAGGTTATGCTTCTAGTTTGAGACGGTTTCTAGGCAGCTTTGGAAGTTTTACAACCGTGCGAACGACGGCATGAGTGTCATTATTGGCGATTATGGTTCAGATGTCTCTGCACTCAGAATTTTGTCAAGTTTCACTTAGTTGTTGCTTGCGACTGTGAATATGCATCGAACTAAAAATTCGCCGACTCTCTATTGTAAATTTTATTGACTGATGATGATAGGTGCATGCATAATGTAAAAAAGTCTATCAACAATTCACGTAGCTACTCGTATTCTGTTTTTTTTTCTTTTTTTTACATTTTTTAATATTCTGGGGGGCTTTTCAAAAGCTTAAAATAGTGATGTAGATTTTGATGGCTGCAAATCTTTGATTTAACTTGATCTTGGGTGGAGTCACCGCGCTATTTCCAGTTTACGCTGTAGTGCTATGACCTTCCGTTTTTAATTTTTTTCATCTCTTTCTTTGTTTTTTCATCTCGCACATGCTTTGACTCCGTTCTTTTTATGCATAGCACGTCACATTTTTTTATTTATTACGTTACGGGTTCGGCTTTGATGCTTTGGTGATCGAAATGAGCCAAATGATTTATTGAACATGTTCATATTTAATTCCTGAGACAGTTGTACAGTTTTTATATATAGCCTGGTATCCGTACTTATTCGCCAAGTCAGAGCGAGTGTATGGAAAGGTGTTCGTACAACAATGATCAGCTCTCTTTAACTTTTATTCAAATTCGCTCTATTGGGTGTTTTTTCTCCTTTTATTTATTTATTTATTTTTCGTACTTTTATTTTTGTTTTTTTATTAGACAACCGAAGAAGAATGGATTTATTAGGTCGTCTCAGGGTAAGGCTGGGGGTGTCGGCCTCAAAGTTTTGTTCACCCTATTCAAGCGGACCACCGGGACTGTTTTAAATACTTCTTTCATGTTTCGTTGAGGCATGATACTGGGTAGATAATTGTGACTCGCTGACGTGCGTTTACTATTTTTCATGTCTTGTGTGCACATTTTTTGGTTTT